ATAAGAAGCAGACAAGATATCCTTAGACATTGGCTGTGGTTTGGTTTGATTTATGGCATATCAACCTTAATGGGTTATTTAATACCGACAAAAATGTATTGCTGGTAATATCTTTTTCCTTTTTTTCAAAAAGAAAATGTATTGCTGGTAATAATTTTTTATAAAGTATTTCTGGTATTAAAACCTATTTATACACTTAAATAGTATTTTGACCCAAATTTGGGTGTTAACTTTTTGCCCATAGCTGGGACCCTAATAGGCGCTACCACCCAGGGTCAGAATGGACCTGGAAACATCAGCAATTAAGAGGTTGTTCCACACTCCTCAAAACCTCCTGAACAGAGGCCTTGCTGTTGGACGTAGTTTATTGTCTTACCCAGGACAGCATTGGCTGTGGAAACCAGAACAATTTACCCATGTAGATGAAATAAAGGGTTCTGTTTGGAATTTCCTGTAGGTTACATGGATCAAAAAAACTTGTAGAAGGTTTGAGGGCACAATGGTTGAAATATGATTATAACAACAAAGATGAGGACAATAATTCACATGTAACTAATGTTAATAATGACAACTTCTCAGCACAGAAATTCAGACAGAAAAAATAACTTTTTCTTTGCTTTTTTTCTATTTAATTCTTATTTGCAACAATTTTACTTAAGTTTAAAGGTGAGATATCTTTTGATATATCTAAGATGAGGTATTATGATTGCTTGCATTATTTACATTATTTGGACTGTTATCCTCATCTTCATTGCCATATTCACAATGTTTTGGCTGTTGTATACTCCAGCCTTCTTTAGGTGATTGGAATTTAGAACCAAACACTTTATTTTGTCCACAGGGGTAGATTGTTCTAGTTCCAACTAGAGTGTACAATGGCTGAAATGTGAATATGGCAATGAAGATGAGGATAACGGTCTGAATAATGTAAATAATGCAAGTTAATGGTCAAAATACTGCACTTTTAGCTGGATGGATTTTACCAGAAATACATCAAGGAGATTTACTTTTAAGGAAACAATTACAACTCATGCTTTATTAAAAATTCTTGTGTTTTTAATATTTTAATGTAAACAAAGTTTTAATAGTTGATAATTTCAGATTAATAATTTATTTGTGACTAATTAAGAATTTCATAAAATCTAATCTGAACAATTATCTATGTCTCGGTTAATTAACTATAATTGATTCTTATATTGTGAACACAAAATACTGAATTTAAAGTAAACAATTTTAAATAGATATGTAAATATACATCTCTGTACACTTTTACATATATTAATTATTGATACTATTTGTAGTCTTCCACAGTTAATTGGATATGATATAAACACAGAGTTTTCATACCAGTAAATTTTTGGTATTACTAGAAAGGAAAATAAATTAGGAATTTAAAAAAAAAAAATCAGTTTTCCCATAATTCAGTTTTCCATTTTATGTTTTTCTTTCTTTTCTTCCTGCTCCTCATTCTTTAGTCTCTTTCTCAGCCTCTCTTTTACCCTGAGGTCAAATGCTTCATTTTTCTTCTTCTGAATTTTAGCCATTTATCACTGTAGTCCATTGTGCAAAATTCATTTCTGATTTATTTGAGAATATTGGAAATAAAAAATTAACAAAGAAAATATATAATTCTTTGTTCTTCATTTAAAAAAAAATTGTAAAAATAAAGATGTTTGTCTCATAAATACAGTGATTATAAATCTTACACTTCCTTATTTGACATATTGCTGTTATGATCTGAAATTTTTAATTACTCACTGGTGACAAATTAGACTGAATTAGCTGTGAATAAATATGTAAGGAGAAAAAGATGTAGAACATATGTAAGTATTCCTTCTATATATTAAGTCATATATTATGGGATAATCCTGCCTTGTCAGACAAGAGACTTCTCCCAACACATTTTTTTTAATGACATTTCAACTCCTTTGTTAATGGTAATGGTTATATTAGCTGTTTCCCTATAAGGAAACATTTGGCATTCATTGACTGAGCAGCCAGTGCTGCTTTCAGTCAAAATTTACAATATCTTTCTTTTAAAACAATTTTTTAGGAAAACAGGTTTCCCAAGTCCAGTAGATGTTATTGCACCTTCCAGTATTGATGGGGTTTCCTTCCTAACCTTTTTATTTGAAGTCATGTGGAGTGTCAACATCTTGGTTATATAATTATTATTATTTAATGCTATGATTTGTTTAATTGGGGATAGATATTTCAGTTTTAGATTGAAGGTTGAGTTAATTTCAGATTTTTGTATTGATAGATCCAGTTGGCATAAGAATGGTAAACATTACAGCATGTGCAGCAAAAATAAATAACCACAAATTATGCCCCTTGATACAGGACATTCCTGAATGAGATTCTGAAGTGGAGTAAAAAGAAAGAAGAGCACTCAGCGTGAGACATAGACACTGTATACATTTTTTGAACATGTGACCTTGTAATAAACAAAGGTCAAGCATATAACCTTTCATACCAAAACTTCCCACATGGAAATATTACAGACATAGGTTCAATTTGAACAAGAGTCATAAGTTTTCATGATAAATCACCATTCCAGACAAGTCTCTCTCCTTCAATATTCCAAGGGGTAATGAACGATACAAAGCAGGGATGTTCAACTCCCTGAAATATTTGATATACCCACATACTTGACTCTCAACAACTGCTAAGTGGCATTGTATAAAGTAGGATAAAAGAAAAAGACATAGACCCTCTCTTTTTTTCCACTCTTCAACCACAAGAGACTATAGGGACAAGACATACCTCTTTTCCTTTCTGTGGAACTTCTTAGTCCTCAGTGAACCACATGTTGCTTACAGTACAAAAATATTAATATACTATCTCAAGTTCATAAAAACTCATGCAACCAAAATAATATCTCCACAACAATCTATTGCATAAATATATATCTCCTTTAAACATAGGTAAAATTCCATCTTTAACAACTTGGTCAATGCTGTTGCAAGCTGATGACCCTGTAACAAATTTCGACACTGGTCTATTCAAACTAAGATACACTCTATACATGTGAAAATTAGATACAACAGGGAATGGTTGCATCTTCAAAATTTTCAATTAACAGAGCCTGGCAGCTGATCTCTCCTTTGCTCTAGCTCTAACAGCTCAATGGGTTAAAAAAAGGCTTGTAACATTCAATAACTCCAAAACCAATCTAGTGACATTTTAGCTTCACCAAGAAAACACCAAATTTTGGTCATTTCATAATAAATGGTTGCACTCAAGGAGTCATCTTGATTTGAACATCTATTGGGGCTCAGGTTCACTTCAAACAGGACTCATATATAAAATCTATCTCTAAAAATGCTGGCAAAATGGTCAGTTCTTTGTAGCAGTCCAGAAAGTCTCTGATTCCTCCTAATATGTGCTATCTTTACAAGAGCTAAAAATGAAGAATTGCTGCTATTCTGGGCTGGACTTGCCGATTTCTCACTTTCTAGCCTTGATAGTATTCAAAAGCATTTACAAAAGCCTTGAGAGTGATGAATTATTTTCCACTTTGCAATGCCTTTCCCATAAATGAAACATCACAAGCCTATCACTACTCTAGCACTATTTCCATAGTAAATGCTCTGATGATCTATATTCCTCAGTTCCACCAGTTCAGACCTTCACAGCTAAGACTTGTCATGCTATGTCTATTGGAATGAATCCTCTCCATTCCATTTGTATTTCATTAGTAAGAAGGAAGTTACATTCAAGGAGTTTCTTCTCCAAGAAATATTACGTTGTACTTCTGAAAGTTAACTTTTATCTTTCCTCAATATCTTTATAATTTACACTTATTACCTTCTACTTCTTGTTCACATAACAACCTTATTCATTATCTTTCTATTTTGAGTGGCTCTTGTACTTTGTATTGGGTAAATAATTACTAAGAAAACACATAACTGTAAATATATTTTTTATCAATTGTTTATCTGCTTTATATATTTTGAGAATATTGCAAAATTGGCATCCACAAGCCTATTGTTTGTCGTATATTGCTGCTTGGCTCAAATAATGTGACTAACACTTACGTATAAAAATATATAATTATCTTTATTGTTTGAGTTGTGATGAATGGGTAGAGTGAGGGAGAATCAAAGAGGTTTGGATTTCGCACACAGGAACTGACAGAGACAAATCTTTGGTAAATCTCTAGCCAGTTTCTCTGTCCAGATCAAGAATCAAACCAGTTAAATAACATTTGGATACCTATGCAACTTTGTGTGGCTATGGCTTATGGCATGCACCCATGCAAGTATGCAGTTCCTTCCACTCAGGGCACCTGCATGCTCTGTTTATTTTAGCCAGCAGATGCATTTTCTGTTTATGCTATCACCAGTTCCAATTTCTATTCACACACTGATGCAGTGGAAGTAAGGCCAAAGGTCTTTCCTCAACCGATATCCAACATTGTTAATCCATCGCTATTTCCATGGCAAATATTTTGACCATGAGACCTGAGTTTAAATCTCACAATAGTCAATTTGTCATGAAGGTGAGAGTATTTACTTTGTCTTTCAGCCTGCACACTCAAGAAAACTTAAAGAAAATGTGAACTCTGAGAGGATTTGAAACTATGTCCCCCTTTGCAGGAGAAACCATGGCAAATGCTCATACAAGTTTCATTTTTGTTCTACCAGTTATGATCTTTATATCTAGGACTTGCTACATCCACAATGTTGAATAATCCCCATTTCCTCCATATTCCAACTGTAAAGAGGAAGTTTCATTCAGAGAGCTTTTTCCTAAGAAGTGATATTTTGTGGAACAAACTCTTGCATGGCTGTTTCTCTGAACATGACAATCTTAACTTCTTCAAGGGTCAGTCATTATCTATTCTCTTTATCCTCATAATTTTCACTTCTTTCTACCTCCTTTTACATTTATGTCACACATCTCATTTAATAATTGTCTACCTTGAGTGGCTCTTGGACCTTGTATTGGGTGAACTTTAGTAACAAGAAAATACTTCTCTCTTTATCTCTTTTTAGCTATTGATCTATCTCAGTCTATTGGTCTTCATATTTATTTATCTTTATCCATATCTCAGTTCATCTATCTATTGATCTCTCTCTGTTTTTATAGTCTTTATATCTATCCCAACTTTAGTGCTCTTTATCTATATATTGCTCTATTTCCTATTCATATTTCTATATTTGGATTTCTTTGGAAAAGATTTGTCAGACTGCTATGAACACAATAACTCAACATTTAAATTAATATAAATATTACACATTTGTATGTTTTTTTCTTAAGATGAGCAAATCCTGCCCATCAAAAATAAGTGCTACACAATCATTTTGTTTCCACAGCTGCTAATACATTAGTGTACTTGTAAAATCTGTGTAATTTAAATGGCATGAAATATCTACCTCTCTATCAATCTTTGTTGTCTTTTTATTTACTCTGCCAAACTCTGTCATTTCTTTAACATCTTACATTCAACCCATATATATATGTGTGTGTGTGTGCGTGTGTGTGTATGTGTAACAGTCAGGCTTGAAAGACATACTCAGTTGATAAAATCTGTATGTGCAACAAGACTTACATTCCAAAAGAATGGCATACAATGGATCATGAGATTGATATCACGACAGGAATTAAAGTAAAAGAAAAAATTTGCAGGAAAAAAATGAGGGCCATTCAGATGTTCTTTAGAAGTCTGCTGCACCAAAAGACCAAAGACACTTAACCAAAATCAGAGGAAGAATGACGCCAAAAATTTGGAAACAGTACATTATCACCACATGACCTAGAAAGATGGACTGAATTGAAATGTGTTAAGTCGGGGAATGGTAATCATTTGCACGATTTGAATAGTCAACATTTATGGTCCCATGATGCAAAAGAGATCTTTTTTTTTTATATGTATATTTTTTTTTTCCTATGTTGAGGTGAGGTTAATACATTTTTTATTCGGTTCAAAACGGAAAGATGATTTCTATTTCATGGCATAACAGTATCTGGTAGATAAGCAAAGGTATACAAAGACATACTGACAATCTGAGATAGATATAAACAGAAGAAAATAGATTAAAATAGAAATGAATAAAAAATAATTTCTTTTAAAAAGTATTTAAAAAAAAAAAGGAAAGATCAGAAGAAAAAGAAAATATTCAATTTGTTTTCAGTTTCTTTAATATATATGAAAAAGACTGAAACCAAATTGAATTCTTCAAAATAAAGGAAGATGGAAGGATAGATATGAACAAAAAAAGAATTTCTTATAAGAAAATGATATAAAAAATTAAAAGAAAAACAAAATATTCAATTTGTTTTCAGTCTTTTTAATATATATTAAAAAGATAAACTGAATTGAATTCTGCAAAATAAAAGAATAAAATTGAATCAAGATAGATATGAACATACTGAGCCAGATAAATAGATATAATATGACATATACATTTTTATATATCAGAACAATGCTAATGACAAAGTGGACAAAAATTTGTTTGATACATTTCATCCTTTATCATGTGTTTAGGTAAATAGATAAGAAGAGGCTGAGACAAACAGAAAATGACTGCTTATTTCATTTTACAATATTTCAACCTTTGACATAGATACATGATTTCCAATATACTGAGATAGATAGAAATAAGTTTTTAAAAGTTTGGGACAAAAAAAATCAATATAGTAAAAATCAGTATATTGATGAGTAAGTGTATAGATATGAGGAAACAAGAATTTGCCAGGCATTAAAATGTCTTAGAAGATCATCAATAGCTTTAATTGAGCATTTTTTTTATTAGGTCCATTTTTAACATAATATAGAAGGAAAGAAATTACAAAGACAACAAACAAAAAAGAAAAAACAACAGAATTTGAATGTTGTTTGTTTACTATAAAATATCAAGCCATGTGCTGAAAAGTTCTCAGCCCAACCCATTTTACAAAATCTGACCAAATGTTCAACTTTCAGAATTTTTTTTTGAATCCCTTAATCAAAAAATAATTTTTATAATTATATAAATTACCAATACTGTTGAAAAAAAATGATGTTTTTTTCTACGTCAACAAAGTTTTTAACCATTTTTCCATTTTTTATAATACATTTTATAATTATATGAATTAAATTATCAATAGTGTTGAAAAAATCCTTTCTACTTCAACAAAATTCTTACATAACCATTTTTTTCCATTTACAAAACATTACACTTACAGAAGAACTTTATATATACAATTTCTGGTAAGAGGAGTTATTATTTACAATATTTAGAGTCTGAATATTGTCCTCATTTTTGTTGTTATTATCACAATGTTTCATTCATCAGATGCTTATCAGCCTGGGTAATCTTCAGTGAATTTCAAACTGAACCTTTTATTTAATCTATGTTTATAGATTGGGCATATTCCACTGAACATGACTGTAGATGATTCGTCTAGTACTGTCCTATTATAGTTACTTGCCCTGTTTCGACTGAGGTTACTCAGCCCAATAATTGAATTTACAATTACTATATCACAAAATCCAGCAATTAATGCTTTAATGCTAAAATTTAATTTTCTGGGAGCTTATAAGTAATAAAACTATGATATATGTTATTCTGATTTCACAAATGAATACAGCTTTTGTGCATATACATGATTGTGTGGACATAATTACTAGAGGCAGTGATATGTGTTTTATGTTGTAGGATATTATAGGGATTAATGTCAGGAAAGAGTTCTTTCATGTTGGTAATTCTACTATAAGTACTGTTGGTAATTTTTTTTATATAAAAGTGTATTGCTGGTATTTTTACTATAAAAATGTGTTTTTATACTTTCATAGTTTTGTTTGGGGGTGTTCACTACTTGGCCATAGCTGGGACCCTAACAGGTGAATCTGGGAATAATAGCAATTTTCAATTGCCTTGCTGCTGGATGTAGTTTATTGTCATACCCAGGATGACTTAGTTTTCTATTCTGATCTACCTTTAGATGCTGTGTCTACCCTTTTTTCTGAACAACAATGGATGAAGATTGCTCAGAAAAGATGTTACAATATTTACATTATTTGGACTATTGTCCTCATCTTTGTTGCCATATTTATCATTTTGGCCATTGTATGCTCCAGCCTCCTTCAGGTGGTTGGAATGTCGAACTGAACCCTTTATTTCACTCACTGGGGTAGACAGTTCTCGTTCTATGTGCCATGGAGGTCAGTTATCAGTTATCACCTGTTAATTCCCCTCTTTAAGTTTTCCACCGCCTTAACCAGGTATTGAACTCACACTCTTTGGGTCCTGTCACTGGATCTAACTAACGCCTTTATCCACTGTGCCTTGAGGACATCTGTGTATAGATTTCTGGGTATTATAAACCTAATGTCTTCAGCATCCATTTTTACCAGTGCTCATATTGCAATTTTTGCTGTTATCATTGCCTGTTTTTTACCAGAGCTCATATTGCAATTTTCATTGTTATTATTGCTTTTCTCTGGCACTCCTTATTACTGGTTCCCATATTGTATTCATTTCTATGCTTGGTCAACTCAGGAAATTTTTGTGGCCTAGCATATGTGCTGATTCCTTAAGTTTACGGATTTTCCAATGATGTTCTTTGTCTATGATTTCAACCTGATCCCACAGAGGGTGGTGATCTCACTTTTCTCTCTTTATATGGTCAGACATGCCTGATTTTTCCATTTCCCCTAGTGTTACCACTTTCTGGTGTTCTTGAAACCTTACCTTAAGGGGCTGCCTGTCTCCCTTTTATATTTCTTTCCACAGCTGCACAGGATGGCATACATACAGTCTTTAGTCCTGTTCTCCTTTATGGTGGGTGTGGGGGGTCTTACTCGGGAGAGATATCTGCAAAGTGTCATCCAGCTTTTAAAGGTTGTCCTGATGTTATGTGGATCGCAGATCCTTTGTATTTTTTCTGATAACTTCTTCACATAAGGCAGGCAGACTTTTTTCTGAGTGTTATTGTCCTCCTCTTGTACCTGCCTATCCTAGTTTATTGGGGCTGCTGCCATGTACCTAGGGTAGTTTTTATGTTGTAGTGTACTACTTATACTGACCAATTCTTTATCTAATGTCTCTGGGTTGCTACTTATGACTTTTGCATGGTGTTGTAAGCAGCAGCTGAAATGTTGTGATAAATATGGCAACAAAGATGAGGACAATAGTCCAAATAATGTAAATAGTGTACATAATACCTCATCTCAGAAATGTAGACAGACACTGAAAGATGTTACAAATTAACATATTCATACAAACTCATAACCAACATTTTTCCAATTATCAAATATCTTCATTTTATTGTTGATTTCAGCTGACCAGTTCTTCAGCCCTCATCAGGTGTAAGTTTTGAGCAAAAAGAAAAACTCATTGAAAAAAAGAGAAGATGGCAGAAATTATTCATGAATGTAGCCTCTAGACTTGTCTATTTCTACAACATCAGATATATCAAAATCAAGAAATTCTAATTTGCACAAATAAAAGGAGATACCTAACATTTCTGCTTTGTAATGATACTGTCGGAATCTATACTTGCTTAATTCACACACCTGGCCAAGAAGCTGATATATACTGTCTCCTTCAGTTTTCTCACTTTCTGGCAATGCTATCTGTTAATTATCTAGACTTTATCCCAGAGAGAGTAGTGTGCAAACTTCTTCCTCCAGATATGGTCCACCATACCAGATTTTTCCACTTCACCTTTTGTTATATCTTGTGTTCCTCAGAGAACAGATTTGATTGTCTGATCAATGTTGAATATGTAAATGACTTTTCGTAGAGACAATACAATACATCCAAAATTAAGTTCCAATTTTTATTTATACTGATTTTAATTAAAAATATTGCTGCTTACTGAGCAACATATCTTATGTCCCTTTAGTACATGGTCAATCATGGTTCACCACAACTTCCTGTTCTTTGTAAGTTTTGTCTTTTTGCACCTAATCCCTTTTCTGCCAACCATTTACACAAGCTTGTTAGGCAGGTAATTTGCTATTCACCCCTGTCCCCCTTGCCATCAATATGTCCTGTGAGTGTTAACTTCTCCAAGACATCTTTTCTTATTATGTACCTTTAGAAATTTCAGTTTGCTCTTTCTGATTCTAAGTGTCTTGATATGCTATTCATTTACACAAACTCATTAAGCAGATGAATTGCTGTTTCCCTTTGATGCTCTTGCCTTCACTATGTCCTGTGAGTGTTAGATTCTCTAGACTCTCTTTCCTCAAAATGTGTACCTGAAATT